CTCCCTCCCTCCCTCCCTTCCTCCATGGTTGTTGTTGGGAAGCATTTTTTTACATTTTTGCTTATTGTGGTTTAGTGGTTGAAATCCAACGTGAGCCAGACCCCATGACTAAGCTTTCGGAGCGGGAGCGCGGGCTTGTTGCAGCGAGACTTGGGCTACGTCTTGGTTTGCGGGCCTATAGGGAGGGAGCCTGGAGGTTAGAGATGGACAGAGAGAGAGAGGGAGAGAGAAAGAGCATCGATATATATATATATATATGTATGTATATTAACGATTATTTATGTACATACATGTATATGTGCATATGAACATGCAATGGTCCCGCGGCACCGGGTTTTGGGTTTTGGGTTTTGGGCCCCCGAGAAAACGCCCACGCCCACAGCCGAGCCGAGCCGAGCCGAGGACGTGGCGGAGCAGGCCGCCCTCAGGGCTCGCGAGCAGAAGGCGGGGCGCGGGGCGCGGGGCGGCGCCTTTTCGGTGCCGCAGGTCGCCGCCTCACTTTCTTCGTCTCGTGCGAGAGAGAGAGAGAGAGAGAGAGAGAGGTGAGTTCTCTCACATCCAGGGGCCAACTTGAAGGCCTGAAATGCGTCATCAAAGCCGATGGGTGCCAATTTGAAGACCCGAAATCAGTAATTTATTTAAACAACAAAAAACGACGATGTGTACTAAAATGGGTCGCAGTCCCAGAGCCGTGCTTCAAGAATTACCAAGGCGGAGCTGGTAGTGTCCCTGACAGTCCAATTACCCGGCTTTTGATTGTCGCTCACATGCCGCCTGGTGCCAACCGGCAGAATGCTTTGTGTCTTTTCTTTTGGGAGGAGGCGGGGGGAGGTGGTTTTCCAGTTGGTTTTCCTGGAAAGCGCAAAGAAAAGGAATCCCGAAAACAGAAAAGCACAAGCTTGCGTTTCACCCATTGACAAAAACATCCTTCTCAGCGCCGCAACTTAGCCGGACGACCCATCCTTGGACCCTTTTGGTCCATTTCCTCTTTGAGGTTTCGGCTCTAGGGGAGCTACGGCGCAGCGTACATGTGTCAAAAACCAGATTTCGTGCTTCTCGCCTCTCGCGAGAATGGAGGTTCCCCAAAGGAAACGTCGTCTTCCCAAGGCTTCCTGTGAGCTTCCATGATTCTTGAGCGGGAAGGAGTCATTCCCCAAAAGATGCCGCCGTTGCGCCGCTGTGATTTGCTGCGTGCTTGTGGTTGGATTCATCCGCCGAGTTTGGTGATACCTCATCCCGGCCGTCCCCTGAAAACTTTTTAGGCTTTCAGTTGGTTGAGTGGTATTTTCCATTTAGCCCAGAATATTAGAAGGGATCTGAGGACAGCCCAGCCCTAGTGGTGGCCCGCTTTTTCTGGCCGCTGTCAAGCGCTTCCCGGCACCTTTCCCCCGCCGCGACCCAACGTTGAAACGAAGATCGGGCCTGCAGGCGGCCACACAGGTTCCTTTCTGGTCACGGCATGGAAAGCTCCAGGTTTCGGTGTCAGGCCAAGACGGTTGCTTCCATTTGCTCCAGGATTTGTTCTTTTGCCAGTTGGTTTGGAAGTGAATCGATTTCACTGGACATATGTTCTCTCATATATATTTTTTGCCGGGCAAACGCGCCAATGGAGAGTTGTACCCCTGACCTGGCACTGCGCGAAAACGAAAAGAGAAAAGAGAAACCGAGGGCCTCGCACGAGGCCAGCCGGTGGGGTGCCCTACTTCTTGCTGGGAAATGCAAGGAGATCAGGAAGACATGTTTGAAGGACGCAGGAAATCACCTGTGGATTTATGCCTTATGCCCTATGCCCACCCAAGTCATTCGGGTGCTTCTCAAAATCTGGAATTTTTGGTTGGAGACCTGCGACTGTTTCCCTTTAACGCCATACCAAGAGGGATTCCGGAAAAATCGCCGTGCCCCGTGTTTTTGGGCGTTTTCCAGTAATTACCTTCCGACGCTTGCACCGGACCATTTTTTAAGCTTTGCGAGGCAGCGGAGATCCGGCGCCAAGCGGCGGGGGGGGGGGGGTGTGCTGTCAGAGGGGCTGTGGTTTGGTGTCGTCTCCAATTCCCCTCCCTCCAAATGGAAGATGAGAGAGCTGTGGAAGTCTTTCCTTTTTAGGGAGCCCTCCAATGGAATTTGGAAGTCTTCAAACTTTGGGGAGAGGGTGGAAAGGCAGAGGCAGGTTTGGGGGAGAGAGGGGGGGGGGGGAGTTTCATGGTTCCGTAGTTGGAGAACCAGCCTAAATGGGATTTGGGCACCAACGCCCCCAGAGTGAGGAGGTCTGTTTTTGGCTTGCCTTGAAGGCACCCAACATCGGTACCCTCGTGTCGTGTTAGCTTTTGGCTTTGGGCTTCTCGATGGGCAGGATGTCCCATCACAAAAGCAAGGGTTAACATCTGGACCCTGCCGCTCGTGCAATGGGAAGGGAAGGAAACTAGCCCACACCAAATTGTCTCCCGCGTTTGGCAGATGTCAACGGAACCCTCGAATGTGCACCACCTGGGAGCTTTGCCGAACCTGATCAGAAGATATGAGCCAAAGTGTGAAACAATTTGTGTGTTTCCTTTCCTGAGGTGTCATGCGGTCACAGGATGTGCTAACCCGAACTGTGCGACCCTCCCAAGACCGCTGTTCATCCTTCCAAAAGCGATTGGAGAGACTTCAGGTATCTCGAAAGTGACTTTGTAAAATTATCATCGAGTGAGCTGCATTGGATTGGTTGCTTGTCAGTTGTTGCTACGTGCAACGGCATTCTTGTCTCCGTGGCCCAGGCATGGCGTTTTGTCGCTTCCTATTTTTAGTCGGGCGGGCACCACGCGAATCAATCAGCCTGCTTTCCGTTGCTGCTTGTCTTCGGCCGTGTTGTTTTCGCGGTGTTTCTTTTGTTGTCTTCTGCATATTCTCTCTCTCTCTCTCTCTCTCTCTTTGTGGTCGTTGTCTTTGCATTTCCTGTTTTTATCGCTCTCTTTTTTTTTTAAATAGAAGGGGGCTCTCGTTTTTTCTTTTTGGTTTGGGTGGGGTGGGGCGGGGTGTGCCCACGTGTTTTTTTGTTGGGACCCCCGTCCTTGCCTCTCCCAAACCCCGAGCCGCGAGATCGCCGGCGGCAGGCGGAGGAGGCGGACACGAGCCGCGGGAACTTGGAAAAGCAGCGCCAGGAGCTGGAGGCGCCACCGACAGCAGATCGGGCGGAAGATCGTTTTTCGGTTGGGGCTTCTTCCATCAAGGTCTTGACTGCTATTGGGTAACGGATCTTTAGATATTTTTTGTTGTTGTTGAAATCAAGTTGGGTTTTCCACGAACCCCCAAACAGTTGAATCTTTTGCAGGGGGGTCGTTACAGCAACCACGTGGTCCATGCCCTGGAGGGAGACATGCCCTAAAGGTGGGGTTTCCTCAAAAGGTGGTCCATGCCAGAAGACCTGGCGTGGTTCCTTTTTTTTTTTTTTTGGGGGGGGGGTACTCTAGTTTTTGTTTGTTTGTTTGTTTGTTTTTTAAATATTATTATTAACAGAAACAACAACTCGGGTCTGAAAAAGGAGACATGGGTGTGTTGGGTACCCCCCTTTTTTGGGCGTGGTTCCTTTTTTGGGGGGTTGGTACCCCGTGCCTTTCCAGGTGTTCCTTTAAGAAAGGCGTGCCCTATTTTGGAAGACCTTTTTGGGTTTTGGAGGATTCCCTTTTTTGGAGGGTACATTTCTTCCCCTTGGGGCCATTCCCAAACATGGATCCAATTCAAAGCGGTCCAATTCGCCAAAACGCCCGAAGTGGTCCATTCCCTGAAATGGGTGCATGTGTCTTTTAAGGAAGGGGTGTCCTTTTCTGGGTGGTTCCCTTTCTTGGAGTTGGTGCCCCTTGTTTTGAAGTTTGAAACCAGAAGGGCAACCACTCATTTTCAGGGGTTCCCTAAAACGAGGATGCCCCGTTGTTGGGGTTGGTGTTATTTGGAGTTTCCAACAAATCAATGAACATAGGGGTTGTCCTATTGCGGGGTTTGCAGTTGGATGGAAGTGGACGGGTCCTCGAAATGGCGAGCCCCCTTTGAATTGTCTTGATAGGGAAACTGGACGGAAACTCACCACCTGGAGGACTTCGCCCAGATGGCAGAAAAGTCCGATTCCCATTTGCATCCAGTCATCCCCTTAAACCAATGGATTTCCATTTCGCCTTGTGTAAGCTAGACCCGATGCCATTGGAGCAACCTTTAGATTTTCATGCCTTTGGGGTTTCAGGGCAAAATGACAGCCTTCTGACTTCTCCCGAGTTGGTTCGAACAAAGCCCTGGCTCTTCTAAGTAACCGGAACAGCTCCGGACCAGCACCGGAACTGCCGGGACTTAGTAGCGGGAAACTGAACAAGCCGGGTTTTTCCTTTGGTTTCCCTTTAAAATCAACCAAAGAGGGGTACCCTCAAAAAAGAGACACCCATGTATAGACACAGTGTTGGCCCAACACTTGGAAACCCCTGCTCCCCGTGTCAAGAAAGCATGCAGCAGTTCGAGCCGTTAAAGGGCGCACCGCGGGGTTGAAATAATGACAAAGGGATTTGGGTGGGTACTCACTTTAGGCTCTTTTTTTTTTGGAAGGGGGAGGAGGGGGGGGAGAGGGGGGAGGGGTTTTAAAGGCAAGCAATAAGATATCTCTGATTTTTCGGGTCATACAAAATCGCTCACTTTTCTTGAAGTTTGTCTTATCCGGATCGTGAATAGGATGCACAAGCATCTTGGCAGGTATTCCATTTTCAGCTGGACCCTTCTTTTGCGACTTGCCTTCTTATGGGGGTGGTCAACATGTGTTTTCCTTAAAGCAACAAAAGGGAGGCGTCCTTTGTTCCGAAGAGGATGTCCTTTGTCTCTCAGGCCCCCAAGGCACGGTCTGTCGAGTTGTGCGCCAATTCCGGGGGAAATGTCTTCGCTCGCCGAACCACGAGATTTCTTGTACTCAGTCACCCACCGCCTCAACTGGACCATTGGTGCTTTTCAAGAGGTACCTCCATTTGCTCTGCTAGGAAACAGAACCCCTGCCAAGGACCCCCTTCCAAGGACCCTCTTCCAAGGACCCTCTTCCAACCCCCTTCTAAGAACCCCCCTCCCTGGGGGCCAGGTTCAGGCATCCTCCGTGGTGGAGCCGGACGATGCGGAGCCGGAGCCCATCGTGTCGCAGGTGGATCTGGTCGGATGGGATGGGCTGACCGCTTTGAATTTGGTCAGGCGGAGGGGACTTGCCTAGATTTCTATCTTGGAATAAGGTTATTGTAGTGCTGCCTTCCCCATTCTTTCCAGGGATCCTTCTTTCTAGAAAACCACCGGAAACCCAGGGACACGGCCGGTTTTTGAAAGAACGATGGTTGAAAAGAATGGGGAATCAACCGTTAGAGTTATGTTCAGTTGCTACGAAGCTGGGACTACAGATTTCCGTTTCTTTTTGGAATGAGGCTATGTTCAACCCGTTTTCGCCAGATTGCATTTGAACTCAGCGAGTTGGCGAATGGGTTGCAAAAACGGGTCGTGCACATTGTGCACAGGTTTCAAGAATTGAGCAGGTTTGTAACCGGTTCTCAAGCCCGTATTCGAGCTGGCCTTCAATGAACGTAAGGAAGGAAAGTAGGTGTTGAAAGGCTTTACACCCTCCATGGTAGCCGCGCACTGGTGGAGACTTAGCGCCGATCACAAATGTAGCACCCGGATGCTGGAAAGGTTGCTGCAGATGTTTCCTTGCACCGATCGCAGGAATGCAGGCAGTCATCCTGGAATGCTAAAAGCCACAATCAAGTGAAACAACTACCTTCCTTGCGGGCGTGTCCTAGTGGACGTGTTAAACAAAGGAAAACCAAGCAACTTGATTGAATGCGCACTTGTGTGTTCATGTTTTGTTATTGACGCAATTCATGGTCAAACATTGTCATATGCTACTGCTTCCGTGGCATCTGGAACCAGTTGCTTTGCAGAGAAGCTTCGGGAGAACGCGGTGGAAGCTGCAGGAGACATCCGGGATGCCTTCCGAGAACCCTCCGACATACCTTTTGAGCATACGCCAAGCCTCCTGTGATGATCGTTGCTTTCATTTGGGTTCCCTCAAAAGGTATGTGGGAGGGTTCTTGGGGCGTGTCTTCAGTCTTCAAAAAATCCAGCCTGTCCGCATTCTTTCGCTGCATGGGTTCTAATCATCCCTGTCCAAAGAGAAAGAGACGAAGTACGCCCGCGCTTCTGGCCAGTTTACGAGTTGCAGTTTGGCAGTACTTGGCGTTGGGTTTTTCAGTGTCTTTGCCGACGTCAAGGCGTTTTGTGGTGCAACCTTGCTCGTACCTTCAGCAGAGCTTGGCAGTGATGCCTGCCTTTCCTGGTCCCTCGCTCGAATGTTGTCTCCCGAGAGCTTTCTGTCAGATCCTCTCCAGTCACAGTGCGTCACTTAGCGGTGCTTCCTGGACGTTCGCTTTTGGATTCAGATGGCTATATTGTGCCCAGCACACCAGCACAATCACAAAAAGCTTCGGCTAGCCTCCGCATGGGGCTTTTCACGAACCTCCGGAACACCCACTGGTAGCACCTTTGGCGCAAGCATGGGTTCATCTTACCATCACACCATGACGAGACTTTCGTTTCAGCTGGCTAGGCATCGCTTTTTGGAGGCGTTCAAGCTTTGGATCGTCTATGGCTGAGGACTTCACTTGCCCGCACACGCGCGCGCCCGCATGTCTGTGCTGTGTGTTTGTGTGTCTATGTGTGTCTATGTATGTCTATGTGTGTCTATGTGTGTCTATGTGTGTCTATGTGTGTCTATGTGTGTCTATGTGCGTCTGTGCGTCTGTATGTGCATGTGTGCGTGCCCTCATTGAGCTTGGCCTTGCGCACCAGCAACGTTGCTATCTAGTCTCCCTCCCCCCTGCCTTTATCACCCCCCCCCCCGCCCGACCCCCCTGGATGTGTCTTTTTGTGAGGGTACTGTTATTGGGTTGGATCTTTAGACTTTAACTTGTTGGATTCCACTCATATTTCCTTTTAACCAGCAAAATATTTAACTTTTGCTGGGGGATCTACAGCACCCAAGTTTTTTTTGGGGGATCCCGAACCAAACATTCCACATGTACCCAGCCACCTCTGCAGGCCGCAACCGGCAGCCTGAAGGTGGTGGTGGAGCCGCTCGGCCTTTTGGGATCCAGCGACCGGTCCAACTCCGCATGGAGACCGGAAAATTTTGGGTTGGTGTAAAGGCGAGCCAAACGCAAAACCACTCTTTGGTCTTTGTTTTTCTTCCCCCATTCTGAGACATAATTATTTGGGTGTCTATCAGGCTCAGCGGCAGCTTCATTCCGGCAACAGAATGTCAACGAGGCATTGTCGGGCGTGTCTGTTTCTTAACAGGATGCAAGGCTGGTGAGTTCACCAAGATTCGCGGAGCGAATGATCGGAGTGTTTGGCGTGAATTGCATTTCTCAGCGCAGCCTCTAGGAACAGACAATTGCAAAAGGCGCCGAATGGTCTTTTGGGCCTGCATCGGCAGTCACGCTGTTACAACACGCTTTCGGGACGCGCGGGGTCTAGTTTGCTTTCTGCCATGTTGATTTGGAGGGTAGCGAAACGAATCCAACCCTCTGGAAGGGTTGCGATTACCTCAAAAGTTCCCCCACAAAGTGCAGTTTGTTGTGGTTGCACGCAAAGCCTCTGTGACCTTGCTCGAGTTTTATGCAAAGGCATGGAAAAGGCTCACGCTGGTTTCAAAGTTTCTTCCAAAAACACCGCGCCAAGAAGTCTAATTCGTGTGAGTCCAACACGAAAACGGCATAGGTCACAGGCTGTCATGTTATTCACTTTCACGTTGATTTTTTTTCTTTTTCGGAGGGTTGGGAGCTTCAAGCTGGGCATTTGGCAGGACCTCGCCTCTTTCTCAAGTTTCCGTTTCCATTTGCTGACTGTGGCTCAAAAACATGGCTCCCAAACTGGCAGCTTGGTAACTGGAAGCAAAGACGAAAGCCTGCGGTTTGCCCTAGCTCTTAAACTTTGAGCCACAACCATGTCTCAAGTGCCGAAACTTCAAGTCTTCTGACAGAGTTGGACTTGTCTTAGGGTTCCCTTGACCAATTCGAGCGGCCTTGCAAAGTTGCAAAGTTTCAAACCCCCGGCCATGGTTTCGCGTCTGTGGATAGAAATTCTTGCGGGTTTTTATCGAACTGGCCCGGCGAACTTGGAGGAAGCCAAGGAAAGGCATCGGTTTGGTACCCGGACAAGCGAGTCCTTCCTCCTCTGGATGCTCTCCCCGTTTCTTCTCTGGACTTTCCTTGTCAAGGTGTTCTTCTCCCCATGCTTTTCGGAAAAAAAAGAAAAGAAAAAACAACCAAACACTTTCCAGATCGCCATCGGGCCGGCAATGAACGTTTTGGCAGCTGGCCCCCGGACCTTTTTCTTTTCGCGGCATGCACCGACCGAGGCGCCTGCAGGCGCAGCTCGCCAGGGAGCTGCAAGCCAAGGCCGGAGGGGCTTGCAGTTCTCGTGGGGTGCCCCTGCAAAAATGAAAACCCTTTTGGAGGTTGCTTAAAGTCAGAACCAAATTGGTTTGATTCCTATTTTCGGGACACGTTTCTGGGCCAGGTTGCAGGGAGTTGCTTTCTGCTGGCTTCATGGGTGCTGGGGGGGGGGAAGTTGCCGCAGGTTTGTTCTCGTTCGGAAAACGGTGGGTGGTTGGCGGGGCTGGTCCAAATGGTGGGAGGTGTTAGATGTTGACCCGAATTTAGGCTTGGTGGGTGGTGTGATTGTGATATGAATTTCAGGAGGCTCAGACCCCATCATTCAGATCGGGATTTATGTAATCAACTTTTTGAGGCTGGTCCAAAATAAGGTTCCGAGCCACATAGCATCAGAACATGAATTAGGGAAGCAATGAAATGGCGCCGACCCCAACCAGCTTTTCCAACCTGGTTGGACTTGGATTTCCTTGAAGGCCAGCAAGTTGAAAGTGCCCCCCAACCAAAAGATGGTTTAAGCGCAATGAATATGTTAAGTAAACCAAGCACAAACAATTTTCTTGTGTGTTCCGACTTTCCTTGTTCCTTTTTTTGAAATATGAGCCATGGGGCATGCAAGGGCCTGAGCCTTGGCTGAAATGGACAAACCCACTGATTCGGGGTGAGAAATGTTCTGTGTCCGGCAGACTCCTGCATGATCTGCCCAGCCGATGCTTGTTCCAGCCAAGACGGAGCTTTGGTACCAACATCGCTAAAAAAACTGCAGCACACAATGAAGAAGTCCCGAGAAAAGAAAAAATAAGAGGAAACACTGCTTCTCGACACCTTGAAGTCTTGTTTACTCCGCTAAACGCCGAGGGGCTGGTCTGCCACCTGCCTCAAGGCTTGCACTGGGTTGCTCGCGTGGCCGAGTCGCCAGGAGTTCCTGGATGTGGAAGCGGAGGAGGTGCAGTTGACGCTGGAGGACCCGACATTTGTGTGCGCTACGCGCTGACCCCATGGCGACAGAAGCGTTTCAGGAATGGCGACCGGATTCTTTGGGGTCCTTTCTTTCATGCTGAATCCTGAAGTATCGCATGGAAAGGCTTGCAGGTTTCTGGGCTTACGCCTTGGAAGAGTTGTAGGTTTTGCGGGGCTTTATTTCTTGGCGGCCCGGAGGTAAGGAAATGGTTTAAAAGGGCGCGTGGAAGAAAGGGTGTGCTTGAGAAGTGGGTCAGGTGTGGTTTGCTTCCGTTTGGGAGGGACATGGGGGAACTCGCTAAGTAAGCCCAAACCCGGGCACGCACCTAATTGTCCGTGTCGTGGCGATGCAAGTTCTACATGGGAAAGGTTCTGGCTTCCAGAGTCGATACGAATGGATGTGGCTTGCGAGGCAAATGGTGGTTTGGGAGGGCGCTTGGACACATGGCAATTTGGCAGGTGCCAATGCATACCTTGAGCTTCCTTAGCTGCATTTTGCAGCTCTGCAGTGTGAAAGGATGTGCGAGAGAGTGCTTTGCTGGTCGCCAGCAACGACACATGGACAGAAGAGGCTGGGAGTGGTCGTTCTTGTGGATGCTGTGATACGCATCAACGATGAGAGATCGACTGTTCGCCCCCCAGCGAACCCCTTTGCCACTTGAATAATTTTCAAAACTTTGACGTGCGTCTTTTGCCGGGCATGGTGACTCCTCTCAACACATCGTTTTGCAGGGTAATTCAATCTATTTCTGGTTGCTGCCGGAGTCAGCTGTGAATTTCTCGACAATCAACCAGTCTGGGCTACGCATGGTCAGAGCCCTGCCTGACACAGCCGGATGCCCATGCGGGCCACGGACAGGCATGGCACCTGACGCATCTGATCAGCAAGTCCGTTGGCTTGAGCGCGTGGATGTTTGGGGTTTTGCGCTGTGTTCCACAGGCCAATCCCTTGTAGGGCTGCATTCACAGACCCCGTCGGTTGGCTGGCAGGCTGGTTGGCAGGCAGATGTGAGGTGTGTGGAAGGTTTCAGATGCATCTTAGGCTTTAGAGCTTGATGGCAGGGTGCGTCTTTGGTTGGCTTGGGGTTTGATGTTGGCTAAAGCTTGGTGGTTCTCTGGTCCCGCAGGTGCAGGTGGAGTGGCACAAAGAGGCGGGGATTTTGGATGGGGTCGGCTGGATGGATACGCTGGCCGCTCATGGGAAAGCAAATCACGGAGGCCCAACTTCCTTTTTCGGAGGGAGAGCAACAATGCAAAAAAAGCAAACAAAAACCATCGTCTGTTTTTGCCAACCCAAGAAAAGCTGGGCAGCTCCGAAGCTGGGAACTGGGAACTGAGTGCTGCCACTTTGGTCGATGGGCCCTTAGGAAGGCCGGGCGGTTCCGAGAAGCAGCCGCTTGGTTTGTCCCCAATTTTTTGGGAATCACCCGGCGATTCCCTGAAAACCACGGGGAATTGTTTATTCTTGGGGTCATTCCCGCATTTCCTGATGAGAACCAAAAAGTTTGTTTGTGATTCTCTGCTTAGATGCTTGGGGAATCAGGTCGAAGGAAAGATCAAAGTGCGCGCCCTCGGAACGGCCTTGTGTTCGGCAATTCCGGGTAGTTTCATGGGGGACTAAAGGGGTCACCTTTTGTTTCATAGCCAGACTCTCCACTGTGTGACTGGCATTCTGACAATTTGAGTACCCTACCGATCAAAATGGAACCTGACTCTGGGGGGGGAGGGGGTTCTGGTTTGGACTAGTCCTGTGTGTTCGTTTGCGCATTTTTTTCTGCTCAAATGCTTTTTTTGCGCGTTGTGTGGTGTGTTTGCGCGCTTTTTTTTTGAATTTGCGCACTTTTCGAGGATTTGCACACTTTTCGGATAAAACTCCTGAGGTAGTCGAATTCGGCACTCCTTGTGGAAACAATCCATACTGCGCTACTCGTTCCCCTGCCGGCGCAGCTGTTTGTTGCAGTCTCTTATGGTTACATCTTAACTATATCTCTTCTTTTGTCTGCATTTTGTTGCACATATGGCACCCAGCGCAAGACCACCTATCACCTGGACCTGACACTCTGTGGCCATTGATTTTGCAACTCGCTTGGCTGGCTTCAACCTCCATGAATGGCTCAACGCCATCCGCTGTTTGCTCCAGGACCATGCCTGTGCCACACTTTTTGTTGAGACAAGTCGCTGTCAGGTGAAACTTAGTCGTTTTTGGGCTCCCTGCCAACCCGCAATTTGCGCGCAAATGTCCGGTACTATCGCACAAATTTCCGCCATTGCGCGCAAATTCGAAAAGTGTGCACATGCATGTGAATGTTTCAGACGTTTTTAGGCAGAAGATGTCCCGAAGCGCCTGAATTGCCAACCAAAAAGCTCTATTTTGAGCCAGGTGTGCTGAGTTGAAGCTGCGCCAATCTCTTTCAACCTGGAAGTGGTGTTCGGGTTTCTTGGAATCTCAAAGTTAAGCTTGTTTCTCTTGTCCATCAAGCTGGCTTGTCAAAATGAAAGGCTAAGCCAGACAACGCCCAACAGGCAGCCAAAACGCACGCAGGTTCCTTGGATCATTCAGGCGAGTTGTGGTCGACAAGGCGCGCATTTATTGTTCTAGTTCATTTTAAACAGCTTGACAGGTTGATGTCAAGGCTATATACTCGCAGAACCTTTGCCAAAGCCAGCCAAAAACGCCTCGCGCAGTTCTTGGAACTTTGCACGTTTTAACTTGAAATGCGCACTTTTCCATTGTGCGCACTTGTTTTGTTCAAATGAAGACACAGGTTTGCCTAAAGCGACCCCCGAACGTCAGGTTCCGGCTGTTCTTTCGTGGGAGGGTACGACCAGATACCCCGAAGTCGCATCTAGGGTCGTGTCGATCCGTGCGCAGCGATCCGCGAGCCGAGCGAGGCGCTCTGGGCCTACTACAAGAATCACCGCGCGGAGGTGCTCCGCTTGCGGCACAAAGTGGCCGCGGGGCAGCCCAACAATGGGGGGGGCATGGGGGGGTATTCATGGTTTAGGAGGGAGCACGTGAGCGCAGCATTTGGATATTCAAGCCAACCGCCCTGTTCATCAGTGGAAAGCAAGTATGCCTTTGGCAGGCGCGTTCAGTTCAAGGCCTTGTCCTTGCCACTTCTATTGGCATCCCATTTCTTGAAGGCTTCATGTACCCTCCCAAGGAACGTGGAACCTGACGTTCGGGGGGTTCTGGTTTGGACAATTTTCCTAAAGGGACCGGGTCCCGAACGTCGAACGGTTCCGGCGGTCAATTCGTGGGAGTCGGCCTAGTCTACGAAGCTCCGATAGCCATGAGCCATGGCTGTGGATCAGACGAATGCGCGCGAGTTGGACACGTTGGTTAGGGGAGGTGGGTTAGTTGCTGGAGTAGGGAACCCTCTCCCTTTGGAACTCATCTTTCACACTCTGAATGGGGTTGACTCTTTGAGCACCCCTCAAACAGAGGTTCCCTTGTGGTTTCCCGTTTAAAGCCAACCAAAGGGTTTGTTTGCCCACACAACGACACGCAAATGCTTCGTTTGTGTTTTCCGTTGGCCAAGAGGTGCCTCAGTTCGTGCCCCACTTGAACCTCTCAAACCCTTCGGGGGCAGGCAAGGGCTGACAGATGCGATGCGTCAAGCGCCAGGAACCCTTGAGGCGCTCGCCATTTTCTCTCCGCATGTTGCGCCTTTTTCACGCCTGGCTTTCCTAGCCATTGTCTTTTACTGCGCGGCGCAGCTTGAACTCTGGCCATGCCCAACCAGTCGGCAATCGCCAGTATTGAAGAAGGGAGGGGTTGTATCATTCGGAAAGAGAGGGACAGGGATTGTGGGTGCTGGCAGAGTCCATAGACACCCTGAAACGCTCAGCAGCCATCCACCCTCCAGCACTTCCGGATCAAACAGGTCATGGACGAGTACCAAGAAGACGCTTCTCCCACGCCGAAAAACCATAGCAAACCACACGCAAGCCTCAAGCGGTCCTCGCCTCCGCGCGTCCGCCTCCTCGCGCAAAAGTGAGGCATTGGAGCGGGCGCAGCAGCAAGCCCAGCAAGTGAAGAACATCTCCAGCGAGGCGACTGGATGGGGCGCGACGTGTCGGGCCGGGGATGGGTGGCCGATACCGGCTTCGAGCTCGCCAATGATTTCAAAACGAGGTCAGAACAACTTTTGGATGTCCTGTGGGAAAAGTCTTGTTTCAGGTTTTGGCCTTCGCGAACTTGCAGATCTGATCTCGTGGATCTTGTGGATGTCCTTTCAAAAGGCCCCCATTTGCCCCCCTGGAAGGCGCAAAAGGGCCTCGGAGCCTTTGAGCCTTTCACCCTTCTCAGAGCTCAAGCTCCAGCCCCCAATCTCTCTGGACACGTTTGCGCCACGTTTGCGACACCGGTTTCTGGGTCTGTTCGTGCCAGGACGTGTCGGCGTTGAAGCGGCAAGTGGAGCAGCTTGCGCAGCAGAATGAAGTTCTGAACACCACGCTCTCCACGAAGAAGAAGTACCTGGAGGAGACATTTGGGTTCTCAAAGTAAAACTGGTTGGTTGTGATACTTTTGGTTGGTTGGTTGGTTGGTCGGTCAAGGGGATGGTCGGTTGGTTGGGTGCGGTTGGGTTGGGTTGGGTTGGGTGTGAAAAAGAAACATATAGAGGGTCCCCAGGCAGGGACACGCGAACGCCCATGATTTATTGGGGATTCCTTGCAGCTTTGCAAGTGAAACAAACGTAATTTGCCCAGAAAGGGCATGGCATTTGGGCTGGACACATTCGAGTCTGACAGCGGGATTTGGCACCTTATGCTGGGGGCCCTTCTTTCAAAATAGAGCTGTTGAGCCATGTCAAAGGTCATTCCTCAATTCCTCTTCGGGATTTGTGGCCAGCTGGTATCTGAAATAAACTTAGGATGCATTTGACATTTACCAGTGACTCAAAGGGAAGCAAGCAATAGAGTATACCTTCTATGACTGGGCCGAAGTCTACTCATGGCACAGGAGCAGCGCTTCCTGCAGCAGACGGGCCGCGAGATGCTGGAGGCAAAGAGTTGGGGCGAGAGCTGGGGTTCCCAAGAACGACGAGGTCCCCAGCAATTGGTGCCGTTTCTTTTACCGAATCTCTTTTTTGGGGGAGATTCGGTTCCCCTACTCAAATAGACTACAGAGAAAAAAGAAGAAAAAAGAACTCGGGTACCCTTATTCCAACCTCTCTACTGGAGGACCTAGACGATTTGCTGTTTGCTTTTTTGGTTGTCTTTGTTGGGCACATCCCCCCCAACGAAAAAGGAAGGAAGGAAGGAAGCTGCAAGAGCTTGATGAAGTGGCCGGGAGATTTGGGCTTGATGCGAGTCATCAACTTCCCGGGGATTCAACTGGATGACATATGGCTGTGGGTCATAACCGTTTTGGATCCCATTTTGGTTGGTAGGTGAATTCACCACCCATTGTAGAACCTATTTTAGTGGTTGGATTGGGATGTTCACTGGGGGTACGATTCGGATTTTGACCCATGGCCATATTTCACCAAGAGTGCCGTGCCATATCCAAAACGCACGGAGCTTTTGACCAACTCTCATACAACAACACACATGACCTTATAAACCCCATGAGTGATCGGTGTCGAGCATGGAGCAATCAGAGCAAACAGTCATGAACAAGGCAGACTATGCATTTTTTTAGCACATGGTTTGCGCACCTTTGTTTGGCATTTGTTTTGGTGTTTCGTTGCTGTGATGCCTTTGCCGATTGCGCTTGTTGCCTTGGCACTTGGTTTGTCTGGAATGTACCTGGCACGTGTGGGCATTCTACATTTGCATCTACAGATAGCTCTCTCTCTCTCTCTCTCTCCCTCCCTCCCTCCCTTCCTCCCTCCCTCCCTCCCTCCCTCCCGCCCGCCCGCCCTCCCGCCCTCCCTCCCTCCCTCCCTCCCTCCCTCCCTCCCTCCCTCCCTCCCTCCCTCCCCCCTCCCCTCCCTCCCTCCCCTCCCTCCCTCCCTCCCTCTCCTCCCTCCCTCCCTCCCTCCCTCCCTCCCTCCCGCTCCCTCTTTCCATAGATTCTATCGATATATGCGTGTGACGTGCCCCTGCATCCCATGTCCTCATTGCCAAGGCGCCACCTTTGTAATTCAATCTGCGTCATCTGAAAGCAGTCCTTCTTGCCTTTTGAGGATACCCTTTGTGCGGATGGGAGTTCAAAGGGAGGTCTGTCAGAATCCCTAGATAGATTGTCAAGTGCCACCAAGGAACCTGAAAGCCTTGTTAAAGAGAAAATGGCCGGCCAGAGTTTTTTTCTGAGCTGTTGGCGTTTCCAAGGGAATTTCGCGGGGGTCAACATGGATCTGGATGGCCATGTTCTAGGCCCCAGAGGCCAGCGTTTCCAGATGGGCTGGGCTCTCAAAATCAGGGACCCTCAAAATGAGTGGTTTTCCTTTTTGCCCTCAAAAAAAAGATACCCTCAAAAGAAGGATAGCCTCAAAAGGAGACAAAAGGATACCCTCAACAAAGGATATCCTCAAACAAAAAGCGAGGATACCCTCAAACCAGGATACCCGCATAAAGCCACTCAAAAAGGACAGCCTGAAAAAGAGGAACGGCACCCAAAAGCCGGGCTGATCTGGGGCTTCAGTTGTTTTTCTTCTTTTTTTTCTTTCTGTCAGACGCAAGATGACTTGGAGACGTGCCTCTCGGAGGAACTGGAAGTCCTGAAGGCGAGTGGAATCGAGGATAGGACGGCGGGAACTTTCCCCCTTGGTGGCTGGAAAGAGGAAAACCACGAGGCAAACCACCTTTCTCTCTTTGACACGCCCGGGTGGCAAAGGTAGGAAGCTCGAAAGCAGGTTGCTTTGGGTTTCTTCTTCTATCCAAAAGGTGCCCGCATTTAGGACCCCACCCGGATGTTGGGTTACCAGCTGAATCGGATCGCAGCTCTAGCAATGACCGCTTTCGTGCGGAGTGTGCAATGTTCCGAGGGCATTTTGACTGTAAAGTAAAGTAACACTGGGTCCCCCAGCTAGGTGCCCTTCTACCGTTTCTTTTTTGGGGGAGGGTTCCCCTACTAAAACAGACTACAGAAGAAGTTGGTAGCCTTATTCCAACCTCTCTGGAGGACCTAGAGCAGTTGCTTCCCTTTATGAGGCCTTCGTTGAGGATAGGCAACTCTGTTCGCTGGTCTTCAGATGGGTCTTCAGATGGAGCACACCGCAAGGTCAGCTGGCAGGACCCAAAGTAGAGCCCTGCATGGGACATGGGCGAAACCCTGCGGTCCGACTTTCCTGGTTTGATTTTGACCCATGCCCGGCTGTGATTTGTCGGCCATGGCACAACGGTGAGGCGGTGATGCATGGCTTCTCTTCAAAAAGGGCCCAGTCACAGCCGCCGCTTTGGGCAGCTTGAACCCTGAGCAACTCTGCATACTGAGCCATTGAACTTGGTGGCTCGCCACCCGGTTCCAATTCGCCTTTTAGCCTTTTTGGTGGTTTTAGCGGCAGTTTCCGAGTTTCGCCCACCAAAGGTCAGCCACTTGTAGGGGATCTGAGGGCCCAGTGAACAAGGTCCAGGCGGAAACGGAAGCACTGCCCTTCGAATCGAACCTTCGATGTCCTTTTGAGCATGGGTGTCCCTTTGATCGGTGAGCTTGGTTAGAAATCCAAGGGGAAGCCACCGGTGAAGATGGAGATTGGAAGCATTTGCCATTTACCAGGGAAACTCATCTATTCGCCATCCATGTATCCGAGAAACCCATGTTTCCAGTTTCCAGTTTTAGGCCGTGCAAGAAGCAAATCGACCCGTGCCCTGGACCCGCCGAGCGCCTGATCCACCCAAAAAAGCCGAGCGACTGGCCGAAGGCTCGCGAGCAGCAGCTGGAACAGGTGGCGCTGGCGTTGTGCCGGGGCCCTGGCGCTTCGCTTTTGCCTCGCTTCTGGAAGGAAACGAGCGCCAAGCAGCTCTCGGGCTCGGGGGGGGGGAGGGGTGGGGGTTCGTGTCCCATGTCCCATGTTGCGTTGGAGGCGTCCTTTTGATTGGTTAGTTTGGTTAAACATAGATGGCACTGGTTTAGATGGGTGTCGTTCCATTTACCATGCCATCTATTTTTCCAAAAGGCCACCCGCTTCGATGGAAGGAAGCGCCAGGCACATAGGGGTCCTTCTTGGTTGATTTGGTTGAAGAATAGGCCGGGCGATCTCGGGTTTACCTGGTGGTTCAATCAACTACCAGGGATATCCATCTATTTTCAACCAAAAAGGACACCTATGGGGCCAAGCAGCTTTCGGGCTCGGGGGGGAGGGTGGGGGTTCGTGTCCCATGTCCCATGTTGCGTATAGGCGTCCTTTGATCGGTGAGGTTGGTTAAACATAGATGGCACTGGTTTAGATGGGTGTTGTTCCATTTACCAGGGCCATCTATTTTTCCAAAAGGCCACCCGCTTCGATGGAGGGAAGCGCCAGGCACATAGCTGCTCTTTCTTTTTGGGTTGATTTGGTTAAAGAATAGAGGGCGATCCCTGGTTTACCTGGTGGTTCAATCAACTACCAGGGCCATCTATTTTCCCAAAAAGGACACCTATGGGGCCATGCAGCTTTCGGGCTCGGGGGGTGCATGTCTCATGTCCCATGTTGCGTTGGAGGCCAAGGACCGCAAGGGAGAACAAAGAGGACACCAAGCAGCTCCCGGGGGAAAACATGTTCCATGTCGCGTTAGGTTGGAGGCCAAGGAAGACATGCAGGTCGTGGTGCACATGTCGTGGGTTCAGTTGGAGCCAAGGAAGCAAACATGTGGCTGTGGGTCAAAACCAATGGTACCATTTTGGGGTAGGTGAATTCACCACCCATTTTAGTCTTTTTTAGTTGGGATTGGGATGTTCACTGGGGGTGCGGGATTTTGACCCATGGCCATGTTGCCGCAAGCTCGTTTCGGCGAGCGCGGCCGTATTGCGAGCTTTGTTTGGAAAAGTGGCCGTAGCTACGTTTGAGTCATTGGCCATTGGGTCTTGTCAAGCTATGCAACTTGGCGGAGGGTTCAGCTATGGGGTCTAACGATCGCCAGACTTTCACGAGGCTCAGCTGACGAACGTTGAGTGAAGCGAAAACAGCGGCAAGCAGCTCGCTGTCCTGGCAATCTCAACATTCTCCGCAGAGATGCGTGCAGGTTTCATCGCGGGCGATACGTATGCCAGCATGCCTCGTCAGGCCACCATCGCCTAGTCCTCCCAAATGAGGAAGATTCTCAAGGAAACGTCAAGCCATAGAAGACCTCGACAGAGTTCAAGATCCATAAACTACCACGGTGACTTCCAGTCAGCAGCATCCGGCGCTAGTTCTATTGCGCGTCGCTTGCCTTTTGCAGCGTAGCGGCGTGGTGTTGTGCCTTTTGAGTTTTGTGATTTTGGGCTTCCCTCAGCCTGCCGCAAAACGTTCTACCATCCTGCAGTCGCTCCAAAAGCACAATCCAGTTCGCTCCAATTCCGCTCAAATCCCGGCCATTGCTGACTTGAGCAAATATCAACACCCGGGTAGATGAAGGATAGTACGGGATAATCCCAGCCACAAATGGGGCCTTTTGGATTCCGTACATGGTTTTGGGTAGACCATTTTAACACCAGGTTTTGACTTGACTGTTATTGGGTTGGATCTTTAGACTTGAACTTTTTGGGAAATCAAGGGGTTTTCCACTAATCCCCCAAAAAGTCAAGCTTTTTGCAGGGGGGTCGTTACAGCAACCAAGTTGACTATGACCTGTCTTGGCTGCTTCTGGCCTCAACGAGGCCAGAAGCGCCAAAGCTTGCAGCGGCAGCGGGAGGAGCGCCGCAGCGAGGCTTTGCTCGGGATAGGTTGGGTTCACAGGTTTTATTGGCTAGGTCCCCCAGCAATTGGTGCCCTTTCTCACCGTTTCTTTTTCGGGGGGGGGGTCCTCTACTAAAAGAGACTACCGAAAGAAGTTGGTACTCTTATTCTAACAACTCTCTGGAGGAGCTACTTGGAGGCGCCTGAAGGCTTGGCCACTAGCCAGACCAAACTCCAACCGCAAAGCTTTGGCAACGGATAGGAAGAGAGTTTACTCAGGTCAGTGCGGGCCATTGCATGTGCGTATCAGATAACATAAGTATCGACTCTTCCGAATTGTTGGTTGCATGGGGTTGTATAGACTCCCAACTGTGGGGCATTCTGCTGAGTTTGTTGCTCATTGATCGGCGGCGGATTGTTTTGGTGCGTCGTTTTGCAGAGGGTTTGGGAAGACCTGACTGAGATTCTCGCTTACCTACTTCGCCAGCATGCAACGTTGGGAGCAGGTCTAAGCCCCAGCAAGCCAATACGACCATGGGTCAAAAGCCAAATCGTTCCCAATCCCCACTAAAATAGGTTCTAAAATGGGTGGTGAATTCACCTACCAACCAAAATGGGATCCAAAACGATTTTGACCACCACAGCACGAGCAACTCAGCCTTGAGGACCGGATGCCGTCGTACCCGTTTGCATGATGGGTGCACCCCTTTTGTTTTTGTTTTTTTCCTGTGCGGGAGCTTTAAACTCTCGGAGCGGTTTTATGTGGCCGTTTTCCTTTAAGCCACCATTCAAGAGGATCATCTTGAGAATGTGACTTGAATGGGCCCAGGAAATTGTTTAGGCCGCCTGGGAAAGCGGTTGGGCTCGCGTTGACCATACGAGTGTTCTCGAAATCACCTTCTACGGTGGTTTCCCTGCCAATGAGCAGTTGGAACCCCCATGCAACTCTTGCGACTTGGTGTGCTTTGGGTGGGTTTCCTTTTGCTTCCACTCAAAAAAATCAACATGCAAAAAGACACCCTGAGAGTGGGTTTCTTTTTGGCTTCCGCTGAAGACATAACATGCAAAAAGGGAACACGGAAGACTTCGCCGATCCAGGTGGCCCGCCTGGAGATCCGCCTGCACTCACTGCGCTCCTGCGGGGCTGCTACCACTGCGGCGGACGCTTGGTTGGGCGAGAAAGCCCCGGTTCCGATCAAATGAACACGGGTGGGTGGGTGGGCAAAGCTTTTGTTGAAACAACCAAGCCCTAGGGAGACCAGCAGATAGCTTGACCAGTGGTTGGAACATGCTTAAAACATGCTTGTCGTTGGGAAACATTTTGCATTTTTGTTTATTGTGGTTTAGTGGTTGAAATCCAACCACTGAACTGCTAAAATTCAATTGTTGGCTCCCCTTCTAACGTCAACCCTGACTCTGCAACCGGTCAGTGGCAGGGGGTCCATGTCAATGCAAATTCCTGTGGTTTCCTTCAACAAATATCCGACACTTTTTGTCATTGGTTCATGGTCAACATTCATGGTTGCCAAGGATCTTTCGTTGGTTCCCTACCGCACCCTGGAGACTGATGACCTTCCTTCCAACCCTTTGCCCCAAGTCAAGGAACCTCTCTGACCATGGCATATTTTTGTACCATGTGATATGTGTTAGGGATTTCGCCCCCCGACATGGTTGGCGTCCTTTGGTTTCCCGAAAAGCTCAACATGCGGGATGGGCGATGTGGGAGAGAGGCTCAAAAGCATGAGTTCGTCTCCGGATGGCGAACATCAACTGCATGTTTTCCTTTGGTTTTCTTGCCTTGAAAAGCCCCAAAAGAATACCCAAGAGAAGACCTATCCAGGATTTATGGATTCCTAAACTGCGGATCTGCCACTATGGCTGCTGGCAGCTTTTCCTTTTGCAAAGATCGCCAGGACACCCATCGATATTGGCGGATCCCCCTGCCTACAGCTGTTTGGGCTGAAAGATGGAAGTCTTCAGAGATTCACATGTGGGTGTGGCTCAAAATTAAAGAGCCAGGCTTGCTCAGGTTTAATCTTTGGTTCCATTTTGGCACATTTTTTCGAGCCACAGCCATGTGAGAGCCTCGGATGTATTGGTGTTGGTCGTGCTTGGCTGGTTGGATCTGGAGTTTTTGGCCACCATAGTTGGCCACAGGCCCAACATTCCTAAAACGACAACCGGGACGCGAAGAATGATGCCCTGCATATTGCAAGGCTCATCATGCACCCAGGAGAATGATGCCCTGCATATCGCAAAACTCATCATTCACCCAGGTAGATGTTGCAGCATCCCGGAGTCAGTTTGCAGTTTGCAGCGGCCCATTTCTCCATCGAGAGGAGAGTGGCATCAACCGCAAGCGTCGAGAGCTCATGAGCCACTTGCTCAAAACCGATTCGGGCAAGTGAAGGTTAAGGGACAATCCCGACCATAAAACAGCTGCGGAGATCCGCCTTCTTAATTCTTGAAGCATGGTTCTGGGATTACGACCGTTAAAATACCCGGGTTTTGATGAGGACTCACTTGTAGAAGCAAACTGTTTATGGTTGGGATTAAGCCAGAACCGGGTCGACCATTTAAATACCCGGGTTTTGAGCAAGTGACGCACATGGGAGTCAAACCAGTGGCGCTTCCGTCAAACCCGTCACCGAGCCCCGTCCGTGAGGCCGCGGACCTCGCAGACATCGAGGCAGAGACCCTGGAGGCGAAGGGCTTTGGAAGCTCGCGGCCGCGTTGGCGTGAGAACCGCGCCGTCGATTTTTTTTTTGGTGGGATGTCTTGTTTGTTTGTTTGTTTGTTTGTTTGTTTGTTTGTTTGGCGGTGTCAACATGCACACTTGTTTGGCCAATCCTTTTGGTTTTTGGTGGGATGGGGGTCTCAAACAAAAACACTTGGCCAATTCAAAGTGAGCGTCCTTTTGGTGTGATGTTTGAGGGGGACATGCAGGACACCCCGCGACATCGCGATCCTGCAAATCACGGATCTTGTGGGACTTTTGGGAAGTGATTTCACCTTGCGGTTGATTCTTTTTTTTCTTCCAAACATATATCCATGAGGATGACATCCGCGCAAGACAATGGGTGATTCCAGTCCAATCTGGCTCAAGTCAAGAATGTGTTTCTTTTATCTTAACCGGATGCACATTTCAAGCATGTTTAAACTGTCGATATCTTTGATTGTTTGTCTGCTTGTCCGTCCGTCCGTCCGTCCGTCCGTCCGTCCGTCCGTCCGTCCGTCCGTCCGTCCGTCCGTTTGTTTGTTTGTTCTTGTGTGTGTGTGTGTGTGTGTGTTTGTTTGGTTTGTTTGGTTTGTTTGGTTTGTTTGGTTTGTTTGGTTTGTTTGGTTTGTTTGGTTTGTTTGGTTTCTTTGGTTTGTTTGGTTTGTTTGGTTGGTTTGTTTGCAGGGTTTGCAGGGGTGTGGTTCCCTTTTTTTGAGGCTATTCCTTTTTTGGTGGGGTTGGTTCTAAAGGGAAATCATCAGGAAAACCACCAGTTTGGGGGTAACAAAAGACACACCCCACCTTTTTCCCATGGCTTTTAAGGGAAACCAGCAGGAGAACCACCAGCTTCGGGGGAAACCAAGAGGAACACCACCCTTTTAGACACCTGTATCTCCTCTTGGAGGGGTACCCTAAAAAAGGGAAGGAAAACCATGAACATGGGGGGTGTCCTGATGTGGATGGACGAAATTCGTTTCGCACCACTTTGAAATCATGGTTGAAACCATTGTTGGTTGGTATTTACTGGGGAATCGAATCAGAAGCCATGGCTTCTTTGGTGCATTTTGCTTGGATGTTAGGACTTTAGCTTTTTGCCAACTCATGGCTTTTCCGCATTGAACCACTAAACGTTTAAAAACCAAGTTTTGGCAGGGCTTCGCAGATTTAGCCACCGAGACCGGGGTTTTCTGAACGGCGGTGCGATTTCCGGATGTCGCAACCCACCGCAGTGGCACTGGGCGATTCGCGGCGGACTTCGCGCGGCGGAATTCGCGGCGCAGGCCTCGGTGGACTGCCGGGAGGCGGTGGCGGAGGCGGAGGCCTGGATGTCCTGCCTGCCCAGCCAGGCGGGGAGCCATCGGAGGGCGGGATGGGGGCGGATGGGTGGGGTTTCTGGGTGAGTTGGGGGGGGAGGGGAACTGGTTGAGTCTCGTTCTTTCTTTTTTTTTGCTGGGGTGGGGGGAGGGTATGTTTTTTTTTTGCGGGGGGGGGGGGATGAAGGTGATGATGAGTATGGGTTGGGTTGAAGGTGAACAGGCAACCCCTAGTTTGTGGTTTGGATTAGTGGTTTGGGGATTTGAACCTCTGGTTCTTGTAGAGGGCAAATGGGAAACCAATCTCTAACCATCAAACCGCCAAACCAAACCACCAACTAGGAAGCTGACCATTCCCAGTTGGGAAATTTGTGTTTTCCTTTTTTTAGGGCACTATTGCCAGTGCTCCAAATGGTGCTTCCAGTTGTGGTCACTGTTAGTGGACGGGGCCTTGCCTAAGTGATGCTTTAGCTGAATTCTGTCGTGTATGAAGCTGTGAATCTGAATGGACCCTCGAGAATGCTGGGTTGGGACATTTGAGGGATACACAATGCAAATGATGTAAGGGTCCCTCAATGGAAACTCATCCCCAGGTGGTTTTTCGCTTTTCCCTGACACTCGGAACACCAAGCACCGATGGATTCTCTACCTGGCCGGGGTTCTTGTTGCGGTTCCAGAGGAATGGAAGCACGCCTGGGTATGGGTCAAAATTGAAATACCGGGGGACTGCAGGTTTTGGTCCATGTTTCCATTTAAAAATGGGTTCCATTTGGGGTGCCCATTTTTGACCCACAGCCACCTCATGCTTTTTTGGACTTGGCGCAAGGATCTTTGAATGCCTCTTGGTGCGAGAGGTGCAGGGAATGAGAGATGGGCTGACCCCGAAAGAAACCATCTATGGTTTCCAAAGAGAATCCCAAAACGGTTCATTCCATGTCTCCTTCCCTTGCATCTCTCGCACCAGAAAGTAAAGGGTTGTGCCGTGCCGGGGGGTCGGACAGAGGGCCTCACTCGGAGCGAGGGGATGCCCACAGGGTATTTGTCATCGCAAGTTGGCATCAGGAAAGGCGAACTCTGATTCTGTCGTAACTTATATTGTTGGCATCAGGTCAATCTGTTTCTTTTCGTACCAACCATTGTTTGCCCGTTACCCATGTTCCCATTCAACATGTGTAGGTTTCTCAGCATAGTGGTCTCCCAAAAGGTCGGTTTCCTTTTGGCGTCCCTCTCCATGCCAACGAACGGCGGTCCGCCATTTTTTTCAGAAACGCTACGGGTCAGAAGGATTTCCCCTCCAACTTTTTTCCCATTTCTTTTTTTCCGAAACGCGTAGCGCGTCAGGAGGATCTCCCCTCCAGCAAAACAAAGAAAATGAGGCCCCGCCTACGACGGTCAGGTGCTGGATGATGCGGAGCTGGGCTCTTCCTTCGAGTCGCTCTGCGCTCTCTTCCGCTGCTTTCACAAGGCGGGGGCCGGGGAGGTCCGAGAGCCGACACGGAAGCTGACGATCGGAGGATCGTTGGAAGACGAAAGCTGTCCATTTGGGGAAGCCGCCGATCGCCCGCTTCCGTGAGTGTGGGGAAGGGTATATTTTGGAGTTTGGTTCATCACTGACGGGTTTTTTGACGAGCAAATGAAGAGGCGTAATCTATTTTATCACGCAACAACGAGCAAGCGAGCAAAATTGAGGTGTCCAATCACCAGCCAGATCAGCTGTGGAATTTGTGCTTCATAGCGCCAAATGGCGATGGCTTCTCTGTCCGCCCCCTTTCTTCTTTGAGGGGCCAAATAGTGTACATCCTCTGAGGGAGGCCACTTGCAAGCCCACTTCGACGCCAAGCAACTGCAGCCAATGGCCAACATGAAAAGCATGACCACACTGCCGCTAAACCACCTGCACAGCGCGGGACAAACGCAATCCAATTCTCGTATTTGCGCGGTTGGTCTCTGAGCTGAAGCAGCGCAGGTTGCTCTTGCTAGCACTGAAGCAAGCTGACGCTGCTTGTCCAAAGCGCGACTACCGAATTGAAGCACACATGGCTGTAAAGTTTGAATTGGGGCATTATAGTGCAACGTCCTTCGCCAGCTTGGCCGATCCTACCCCGTTGCAGAGAGATTGGCTGACAATCTGAGAAGAATGCCATTGATGCCCACGGTGTCCTAAAATCTGACGACCGGTTTGGGGTGTGCACTATTCGAGGAAATACCCAGCGAGAAGCAGTAGGGTTCAGCTGGTGTACACCCCGCAGAACTGGCTGCTTCAGGAAGAGCGGAGAACAACAAAAGCCCAAATAAAATCGAAACAAACTAAGACTAAGACGCGACAAAACGAAGAAGAACACAACACGGCAAAGCGCAGCGCAATTCAACACAACACAACGTAACACAAAGCAACACAAGACAACACAATGCAACAAAACGCAACACAACGCAACACAACTCCACTAACAAAACAAAACAACAAAAAGCAAGAGAGAGCGAGAGAGAGAGAGAGAGAGAGAGGGAGACTTGAGCATAATACAATACATCACCCTCTCCAGGGCACACCACACCACAACAACTTATCAAGCACCACTCTGCAGAATAAGGGAGCACGAGCAAAAAGGCACCATCACCGCAACGTGCAGCAACCAGACAACACCACTACACTACCAAAGCTCACACGACGATACGCAACAAAACAACACAGCAGTAATTTACAAGCAACACGTCACACAACACCGCAACACAAAGCACAGCCACTCACAACACACAAGGCAACAAAACAAGACCAAAAAAGGCATGACAAGAGAGAACTGCAGATGTGAGCTAACCGCAAGTGGCAATCGTTTTAAGACCAACAAACTCTTTGCAACCAGAGCCAGGCGCTCAAATCCCCAAACTACCAATCGAGGCTTACCTTAACGCCATGTCGGCATGTCGTGTTCACAGGCTGGAACTCCTCAAATTCGAAAGTGACTATGGGGAAGGCGTTCTGGTCCTCAGGTAACCAACAGTTTGTGGGAAACCAATGGATCCTTCCAACAGAAACTCGGGGATGGCTCACTTCAGGAATCATAACTCTCATTCCCTGGCCTTGAGCATGAGGAGAAACAAGCAAGAAGGTGAAACAAAAGAGAAACATGTACATGACGGGTGATCAAAAGGTCATTTACATGGGCTGACCATTGGGTTGGAAAACCACCAGAAACAAATTTGATATTTCAACCACATGGGACAAGTTACTTCTGGTCAAAACTGGCCCATGGTCAACACCGCGGCCAGGAATCTTTGGTGCATTTTGCTTGGATGTTAGGACTTTAACTTTTTGCCAACTCACGGGTTTTCCGTATGAAACCACTAAAAGTTAAACTTTTCGCAGGGGAGCAGATTTCGCAACCGAGAAAAGGAGCGGCTTCCTTTGAAGGGTTTCCCTGGAAACGAATCCCTGCAAAAAGGTGCTATCCGAGCATTGTTGATCCACCCCCACAAACAAAGAAACCTGAGCCAACCCCCACAAACAAAATTCTATCCGAGGAGTATTGATCAACCCCCACAGCCAAGCTGTGCTTCAGGGCCTTTTTTGTTCGTTCGCAGGCGCGGATTCTGGCGCAGAGCATCCAGGACCACTTCGTGGCCACGGCGGCCTTGGCAGTGCTGCAGGCGCCGCATCTTGAACTGTTTTTTGGGGTTGGGGTACGGTGGGCGTCTTTTTTTTTTTTTTAAGGAAGGGCCCACCAAGTATTTGTTTATGTTATTTTTTGGGGTTGGACAGGTGAAGGGGCCACCAAAGTTTTTTTTTTTGGGGGGGAGACTCCCCGGAATGTTTCTTTTTTTGAAGGTCCACCTATTTTTTTTTGCATGTTTTGGGTTCGGGTACTGCGGGTGTCGTCTTTTCGGCGGACCCCCCCAAAAGCAAGCAGGGGTCCTTCAACCCACCTCAATGTCTATACCCCCCCCTACACTTTTCAGTCCATTTAAAAACAGCATACCATTTCAACCATTCAAATCCAACATTCCAAAGCTACCTACCATTTCAACCATTCAAATCCAACATTCCAAAGCTACCTACCATTTCAACCATATTTTTCCTTACTCAGATAGGTTGAAGGTCCCTTATTCAAAAACCCCCAACAACAAAGAACATAACAAAAAACCAAACAAGGAACAGAACACAGAACATTCCAAAACAACCAACCAACGAAACATTCCAAAGAACTTTTCAAAGAACCTAAACATAAATCTTACAATGTTTTTATTGTAAGGTTTATGGGTTAATCTTCTTCAAAAGGTGATATTCTAAACACAGGACATTCTACAAACTGATTAATGCAACAATGTTTCCAAAAACTCTTGTCGTCATACATATATTTTATAGCTTTGTTAAAGTCGGCTATTGTTCTGTCTAAGTTGAATTTCTCCAATTTAATAATTTCAATTACCATATCTACATCATTATTACCAATTTTCCAATAAATTTGTTTTAGACAGTCTATTCTTCTTATTGAGAAGTTAAATTCATTTTTTAATACATTCTTTTCAGGAAAGAAATGACATTTAACGAACAAAAATGTCAATGCATCAATTGCTTTACATTTGTTTTTTCTTTCAACAATTTCAGGTAGTCTCCTCAGGCACTGGCAGTCTTCGCATTCTTGATAACTAAACTTACATATATCATTGATAATATTTTGAGGTAAATTTAATTTACATAATTCAACCTTCTTATCTTCTAATTTACAAGGGCAGTTTATGATTTTGGTTTTCATAATTTTATACATATCATTTACGTAAATATTATTCAAGAATTCGTTAATAATATTTTCCTGCTCATTTTCACTGAACATGTTTCACTAATATATATAGGCAATTTGTCTTTAAACCCTTTTTAGTCTAAAACTATAACTTTAACATTTCGTGTCTCAATAATAATTTTGGATAATCACTAACCGAGTAATATTTTTGACCGAGTTTTTCATCTATCCTTTCCACTGTATGGACTGATTTTAACCAGTGGCTCGTTCGTTCTTTTTCACTAATTCCTTTTTTCCTCATAATCTTAACCTTATCACCAATATCCAAATCAGGATAAACACGGGTTTTTCTGGCATTCATTGATATGTTCAATTTAACTTCAAGCTCATTCTTCTTCTTCCTTGCTTCTAACGGTGTCATTTTTGTAACGGAACTTACCAATTTATTATTATAAGTTAATAAGATTTCCAATATGTAGTCAGTCCATTGAATATTATTTTTACCTTTCTTCTCATCGGCATCAACTCTTTTGAAAAGCATATCTTTAAATGTCCTTATGAAACGTTCTCCGAAAGCAGGGTGTCCTCGTGTAGTGTGTAATTCAATTTTCTCTTCCTTCAAATAATCTGTAATGGTAGAACTAAACAAACTGCCTTCTTCGTCGCTGTATATTAATTTAGATTTGCCATCCATCTTTTTTAATCCTTCCATTATTCCAGCTAATACATCAGCAGGTTGCTTACTTTTAATAGGTATAACAGTAGCATATTTACTGAATATATCAACTAATATTAATCCAACTCTAAACTTTTGATTATCCAAATCATTTTTTGAAATGAAAAACAAATCCAACTGGAATTCCCAGAAGGCATGAGGAGCAACAAAACTATTTTGTCCTCTTGGTTTTCTTTTCTCTTCAATATTATTTTTAAAGAATTCATTTACATCACTCATAGTAATTGTTTTGTCCTTCCTTCTTGCATCTTGTAAAGTTACAGCTTTACTACCATAACCGCTTTTATCATAATAAATATCACTAATTATTTTTTGTTTATCCATATAATAAATTAAGATTTATTATATTGATAATATAATTTATAATTTAAGTTCAGGATAATAATTTAATTGATGATTGTTAAATCGTTGATACATCTTACCTCTTTCATGCATCATTTTTAAGATAATATTAATATCTCTCACTGTATTTTTGACATTAAACTTTTTTCTGTCAATATATGTTTTAATGTCTTCTTTTACATCAAACCCTTCCCTACTATGATTAGTCAACATACATAATACATCTTCAATCATTTCATATTTTTTCTTACTGATTTTCAGAAATGCTCTAACATAACTATAAGGTGGTCTTTTATACACAGTTAACAATATTATAATGTCATCTTCAACATTTCTATTATGTCTTCTTTTTATGTTCAAATGACATCTGATTAATTCTTGATTATCTCTCCATTCCTGACAAATTTTACATTCGTCTTCTTTACTCAAAGCATACTCAATAATATTATTAACTATTCCATTAGGTAAATTTAATTTGTATAGTTCCATATTCTCTTTTTTGAAATGGCAACAGTCATAGCATTTCTTATTAATATAATTATTTACTTCTTGTTCCTTCATTACTTTCTACTATATATAAGTATTATGTCTTTAAACCCTTTTTAGTCTAAAACTACGATTTTAAAATAAAAATCTTAAAATCTTAATGCGCTGATACATTACAGTAAAAGCAGTAAGCAATACAATTATCTATTTCATGGCTTGTATCATTACAAAGTCTTTGTGCGGTAAAGTTGCTACATAATTTGCCCTGCTTGATTTCAAAGTTAAATGGTGTATTACACTTCTGGCATCTGTTCTTGAAATTATCCAAGCACCATTCGGCAGTTATGTATTCCTCTTCATTGATTTCTCTCTTTGCTTTCCTATCCTGTATTTTATAATTTTCTACTTTATTCTTAAAATATCTCATTATCATATTTTTATTCAATTGCTTTTCAAAGTCATCGTTCTTGAAAAATCTGACTTTTCTGAAATCAACGCACCTCGTAATAGAAGTCCAAAGCCACTCACGATTTACAAATGGTAAATTCCATTCATGAATTGTCATTCTTTCTTTCACACTTGCACCCTGTGAAGAATGGCATGTTGCACAATATGAATAAATGAAATTAGCATCTACAATAGGTTCAAACAACATAAATTTATCTTCTTCCCTTGCTATATTTTGTAATGTGATTTGTTTTCCTAATTCATCATCTTGTATATGTGTAATCCTGTATCTCAAATTTACATTAACCCTCGGCTTTTGTATCCATTTTCTGGCAATCAGAATATCACCTACTACATCTTTGGCATTTATGTTTAATCTGTCTCTGATTTCACTTGCTACATTTCTACACCGAATATTAGTATAAGCTATATTATGTTCCGAAGCCATTATATCATCAGTAATCTCAAAGTATTTAGGTATTATTTCATTGATAGGCAGTTTCTTTTCCCAGAAGTCATCATACATATCATTAATTTTCTTCCTGTTTCTTTCTCCTTCTTCGCTATCTTTTGCTCCTACTCTCTTACATACTGTTAAAAAGATATTGTATTTAAAAATTGTATCTAAGCAATTATCCATATATGTCGCTGGGTCTTGGCAGTTGGTCATTGCTTCCACCCCTTGCAACTGCTTTGCATCACCGGTAGCAATTACAATTTTATCAGGATTATTTTGAATAAATAACCTTACTTTATTAAGAACATACAAATTTGACATATAGATTTCATCAAATACAATTACATCAAAGGGCGAGTAATCATACTGTGGCAGTTTCTCGCCTACATCTTTATGAACAGCAATGCTAAAAAACTTATTGTAAGTGGTGGCTTCTACTTCTTTTTCTTGTAACAGCCGGTTAGTTGGAACTACAAATAAAACATTCTTATTCATCTTTTGAAAGTATTCGCCAATATAACTTTTGCCTGTGCCCGGAAATTTGCCTTTTATAATCACTGGGTTTTGTTTAATAATCTTCTTACATATTTCTTCTGTATTCCATTCATCTTGAATATGAATATTGAAATTTATGATTTTGGGTATTTCTGGAACTTCATTATATTTATATGTATATGCGTTGGTGGGCAGTTGAATATGTTTTTTTATCTTCTACCCTCCAATCGCCTATCTCATTACCACATTTCAGCAGTCCATTGCTTCTTCCAAATAATTGAAACCGAAAAACTTTATCTAAATCATCTTCATGAATAGTGAAGGCATCTGTTTTAACACTATACACCTTGACATTATTATCAGTCATTGTTTTGTAAGCTTCATACATTTTGAAATTATGATATTGTAACAGCAATTCTTTTATCGGCAGAAATCCGTTAGTTAAAACGTTTTTGTCAGCAACATTCAACACATAGTATGTTTCACCAACAAAAGATTCTTCTAATTGAGAGCTATCTTCATCTACTTCTACCAATTCCAATTGGCACTTGCTGATAGTGTAAATCTTGCCACCATATAGGCTATGGTAGTAACAGGCTTCTTTCAATGAACTAAATACACTGCTTTTTTGCGAAGTGTTATGCGATTTTTCAAGCATACCAGCGCTAATGTTAAATATTTTCTTATGGAGTTGCTTATTCAGGTCTTCATTATCAGACAGTTTTGTATCATACAGTTCATCAATTATTTTTTTGTAATTTACTTTATATACATGGTTAGGTTGCTTATACCATAATATGTTTAATTTTACATTATGTTTAATTAACTGTTTTAAAACTTTCCATACACCAAGTTATATTTTTTATTGAAAAAGATGTTGCCCTCATACACTTCCACAATGTATAAAGTCAAACTGTTTAACTCATTGACATCACACTCATTCTTA